GCCCGCACACCCGCCTGCTTCTACCCCCCGCATACCTGCCCACTTCCCCCACGTGCACATGCCCACACACCTGCTTCCCCCCACAAGGCAAGAGCCCCAGCTCGGGAGGCCAGAGGAGGAGGAGGACAAAACAGGACCATCAGCTCCAGAAACATGAAACACAGCCACGGGGTCATCACAGACAATCCTTAAGGCTTCATCACGTTTAGTTCTAACACAGAGAGCATCTATTCAGAAGAACTGACTTTTGCTCATTTACATCCGTGACAGGGGAGAAACACCGCCCAACGTTGGCAGCTGCGGGTGTCCCCCACACACGTCTGCACTGCTGGGGATGTGAACGTGCAGGATTCAGAGCTACTAACCCGGAGCAGGCGCGTGCTTCGGATTCCCTGTCAGGCAGCCTCAGGACTGTGGGTGTGTCTCCCAGTCTGAGAGCAGGCAGCAGATGGACAGGGTGGACTGGGTGGGCAGCCTAGGACTACAGACAGCCGACCCTGCCCCTGAGTGCAGCACACCATGCCTGCCCCATTATCTAAGCTAGGGACCCAGATGCAAACCCTGTGCCGGGGGGCAGACACAAAGGAGGGCCACATCCCCATTTCTCCAGGGGACAGGTGAGCCCCTACAGCCTGAACCCTCTGTCACCCCACAGTGAGAACAGCTACAAAACTGCTGCTTTGTGGAAAACCTCCTTCTCAAAGCTGGACTCATGAAAAACTGTCCGGGAGACACGTGCTTGCTCCGTGAACGAGCCAGACAACACAACACACCTGTGGGCCCCCCAGTGGAGGCAGCAGACCAGCAGGGTACACGTACCTTGTCGTACAGCATCCAGCCGATGTACTTCAAGTAGTTGTTGTCCAGGAACATGTCCGGATACAGCCTGATCCAGCAGCCGAGCTCCCCCATACAGATCACACGGATGTCCGAGCTGATGTCACTGACAAACGAAGCAAGACTGTCACCCAAGAGCCAGGAAATGTCTTCAGCACAGTGGGGTGCACGTGTCAACGCAATGCTGAGTGAGGCTAAGACAGCCTGAGACACAGCGACACGCGGGGAAGACGCACATGAGGCTCGGTCACAGCCTGAGTCATGAAGACATGCGGGGAAGATAGAGACTGAGACTCAGTCACGGCCTGGGTCACGGGGGACACGTGGGGAAGACGCACATGAGGCTCGGTCACGGCCCCGGTCACGGGGACATGCGGGGAAGATGCACACTGAGGCTTGGTCACGGCCTGAGTCATGGGGACACGTGGGGAAGACGCACACTGAGGCTCGGTCACGGCCCGGGTCACGGGGACACGCGGGGAAGACGCACACTGAGGCTCGGTCATGGCCCAGGTCACGGGGACACGCAGGGAAGATGCACACTGGGGCTCGGTCACGGCCTGAGTCACGAGACATGCGGGGAAGATACAGACTGAGGCTCAGTCACGGCCCGGGTCACGGGGGACACGTGGGGAAGACGCACACTGAGGCTCGGTCACGGCCTGAGTCAAGGGGACATGCGGGGAAGACGCACATGAGGCTCGGTCACAGCCCGAGTCACGGGGACACGCGGGGAAAACGCACACTGAGGCTTGGTCACGGCCCGGGTCACGGGGACACACGGGGAAGATGCACACTGAGGCTCGGTCATGGCCCGGTTCACGGGGACACGCAGGGAAGACGCACACTGAGGCTCGGTCACGGCCTGAATCATGAAGACATGCGGGGAAGATACAGACTGAGGCTCAGTCACGGCCTGGGTCACGGGGGACACGTGGGGAAGACGCACATGAGGCTCGGTCACGGCCCGGGTCACGGGGACACGCGGGGAAGATGCACACTGAGGCTTGGTCACGGCCTGAGTCACGGGGACACGCGGGGAAGACGCACACTGAGGCTCGGTCACGGCCCCGGGTCACGGGGACACGCGGGGAAGACGCACACTGAGGCTCGGTCACGGCCCGGGTCACGGGGACACGCAGGGAAGACGCACACTGGGGCTCGGTCACGGCCTGAGTCACGAGACATGCGGGAAAGATAGAGACTGAGGCTCAGTCACAGCCCGGGTCACGGGGACACGCAGGGAAGACGCACACTGAGGCTCGGTCACGGCCCGGGTCACGGGGACACGCGGGGAAGACGCACACTGAGGCTCGGTCACGGCCCGAGTCATGGGGACACGCGGAGAAGATGCACACTGAGACCCGGTCACGGCCCGAGTCAAAGGGACATGTGAGGAAGATACAGACTGAGGCTCGGTCACGGCCCGGGTCATGGGGACACGCGGGGAAGACGCACACTGAGGCTCGGTCACGGCCCGGGTCACGGGGACACGTGGGGAAGACGCACACTGAGGCTCGGTCACGGCCCGAGTCACGGGGACACGCGGGGAAGATGCACACTGAGACCCGGTCACGGCCCAGGTCAAAGGGACATGCGAGGAAGATACAGACTGAGGCTCGGTCATGGCCCGGGTCACAGGGACATGCAGGGAAGATACAGATTGAGGTTTGGTCATGGCCCAGGTCACGGGGGACACACGGGGAAGACGCACACTGAGGCTCGGTCACGGCCCGGGTCACGGGGACACGTGGGGAAGACGCACACTGAGGCTCGGTCACGGCCCGGGTCACGGGGACACGCGGGGAAGACGCACATGAGGCTCGGTCACGGCCCGGGTCACGGGGACACGCGGGGAAGACTCACTTTGAGGCTCGGACACGGCCCAAGTCACGGGTACACACAGGGAAGACGCACACTGAGGCTCGGTCATGGCCTGAGTCACGGGGACACGCGGGGAAGACTCACATTGAGGCTCGGTCACGGCCCGAGTCACGGGGACACGCGGGGAAGATGCACACTGAGACCCGGTCATGGCCCAGGTCACAGGGACATGCGGGAAAGATACAGACTGAGGTTTGGTCACGGCCCAGGTCACGGGGGACACACAGGGAAGACGCACACTGAGGCTCGGTCACGGTCCGGGTCACGGGGACACACGGGGAAGACG